TGTCCCTGCCGTGCTCTTAGGGAGCCTGGCTGCCCTGTGAGCCCCCGCTTGCCAATCTGTCCTAGGAAGTACGACTCGCTGATCCAGCCGCAGCCTGGCCCAGCACCTGCGAGACGCCCTGCGGTCCTTCGAGGACCTCCTCCGTGGCACTGACATCGACTACTACCTGGGCCAGGGCTTCAGGGAGCAGCTGGCCCGGGGCAGGCAGCTGGCTGAGAGGCTCAGTGACAAGCTGGGCACCAGTAAGTACCTTTAGGGAGCAGTGGGGCTGGATATTATGGGTGTGCGATGGAGCAGGAAGGGATGCTTTGATGGATGATGGGCTGTAGTCACGTGGACATCTTGTGCTATGTGGGATACCTGCTTTGAGCTGGACTGTCCTGTCCTGCTATGGCTGTTTGGGACCAGGCACCTTGGGGCATGGAGACACTGACTGGCTCTTCTCTGGCTTGTTTTTTCAGGAGATCGGCAAGATGGGGAGGATAAAAAAAGTCATGAACTCCTGGCACTGAGGTACCTGTTTCCAGGGAGGGCATGTGGGTCCTGCTTGGCATGGCCACCCTGGGGTCATCGCTGCCCCAGGGTGGATGGCCTGGGGCTGCCATCTCTGAGGATAGGGAGTCCCACAGGCACTCCATGACTCTGAGCAGCCTTGCATCATGAGTGGGCCACAGTGTGTAGGGTGTTGTGTAGGAAAGGGCTGTGGGGTGGACATCACCCTGACCTGCAAGCCCTGGTGATGGACCACCTCTGCAGGCTCAGTCGGGAGCTCCAGGAGAAGGAGAAGGTGATTGAGAGCCTGGAGGTGAAGCTCCAGGAGCGCTCTGAGTCCCCGGGCAGCAGCTGCCCACCCTCCGAGTCATCCCACTCTGCCACCAGCTCGTCCTTCACATCTGAGGGGCTGGAGCCTTGCTCTGATGGGGATGCAGCCAGTGAGTGCAGCCAGTGCCATGAGGAGCCTGCCCGACTCACAGGTACCACAGGGTGACTGGGCCACAACCACAGTGCCTCTGGACACGGGGACTCAGCTGCTTGGGGTGTGCCAGGGTCCCCAGTGCCCACAGGGAGGGGGTTCTGTGCTAGGCTGAGCCACAGCCACGCTAACATCTCTCTCTATCTCTCTCCTGTCTCTAGGCCTTCACTTTGACTCCTTGTCCAAACCTGCTAGTGCCCCCCTGCCTGCACAGGCCCCTGTGCTCTCTCCCTTCCTGCCTGCTGGGCCCCCTGCACCCGCGGCCCCACCGCTCCTGGGCTGCTGTGGAACTCCTGTCTGCTCCCTGGCTGAGGCACAGCAGGAACTGCAGGTGCTCCGGAGGCAGCTGGGAGAAAGTGAGCACACTGCCTCTAGCCTGGGTTTGGTCCTGCCTGCCCTGCATGCCATGCTGTGCCCTATCAACCCCCACCCTCCCTGGGCTGACTGTCCTGCCCTGGGCCTTCTGCTTCTCTGGGCTATGGCTTTGAGGTTGGGTCCTATCTCCCTGGTTGGGGGACAATGATGACATGTGGCTTTGTGTTGAGAGGACTTGGTGGGTTGGATGGACAGAGCCTGAGGCAGCACTAGCCCTTGGTGTGGGCACTTGCACATTGCAGGGCCGCTAGGAAAGAGCTGGTTTGGTTAGTTGTTGTGTAGGAGTGGGGCTGAGACCCTCCACCTCGTGTCATGTAATCAGCAAGCCCTGGGAGAGCCTCTGTTCAACAGGGGCAATGGGTTTGATTGGGGCAGGAGGTCAGTGATGGGGGATCACCGTGGGGGGACCCTGGGCTGCACAGTTGGGCAGAGCAAGAAGGGAGCAAAAAGCACAGGGTGGGAGTGTGTTGGTGCATTATTTTTCCCTGCTCATTGTCTTTCTTGTCCCCCCTGCTTTTCCCTGTGTGTGCAGGTGTGACACTGCCTGTGGGACCTGCAAAGCCCACAGCCCCACTGGGCCCCTTTGGAGAGGGCAGCAAAGCCCCAGCATCGTTCTGCCAACACAGTGCACTGCAGGGCCTGGCTGAGCTCCCTGGTGCCACCGAGACCCATGCCCTCTGGGATGTACCCCCTCCTGGCCAGCCAATTTATGGGGCCCTGCCATTGGGGTACACCTCTAGCCAAAAGCTAACAGGTATGGTCTGTGCTGGAGAACACAGGGGCATCCTATCTGGTGTGGGGGAACAGGGAGATCCTGCAGCAGAACGACCGTGGGACATGGCTCTGGTTTGGGGAAGGATAATGGGGCTGGCAGTAGGTAGGTGGTAGAGACTTCGCTGCCCTGAGCTGTCTCCTTGGCTGTGTCAGGGGCAGATCTGCTGGAGGAACACTTAGTGGAGATCCGCAGCCTGCGCCAGCGCCTCGAGGAGTCCATCTGCACCAACGACCGGCTCCGGGAGCAGCTGGAGCGCCGCCTGGCCTCCACCAGCAAGGCCAGTGGTACGGCGCTGCGCTGGGGCCCATGGGAGCTGCTCACCCCGTGCCTAACGGGGCACTGGGGAGAGACACTCAGCACCAGTCCCCTCTGCAGGGTTGCCCAGTGATGGCTATGCCCAGACACCCGAGCTGGGGTTGCAGCTGAGCGGGGAGAACCAGGCTCTGCGTGAGGACAACCGGACCCTGCGGCTCCAGTGTGACCACCTCTCCCAGGGTAGGGCTGTTCCACCAGCCGGCTCTGAGTCCCGGGGGGCACTGGCTGAGTGGGCTGGAGGTGACAGCTCTGTGCTCTCTGTCCCCAGAGCTGGCACGGGTGCAGGAGGCCCTCGTGGCTGCCTGCACCCGGGCACGGGAGGCTGAAGCGGAGCTGGGCCAGAGGCGTGGGAAGCAGCGGAGACTGGCGGAGGAGCTCACTGAGAGCCAAGAGAGCGTCCGGCAACTCCGGGATGAGCGGCGCTCTCTGCAGGAGGACAACAACAGGTGAGTTCTGGGGCACTGTGGCCTTGGGGCACAGGACTGGGTGGCACGGCTGGCACCGGACCCATGTGTCACCTCTCTGCAGGCTGCAGCACTCTGTGACACTCCTGCAGCAGCAGAGCGAGGAGCAGCGCCTGCTCCTGCCGACCCTGCGCGCCGAG